GACAGTTTTTTTTCCAAGTTCTTTTTCGCTCTGAATTCTTTAAAAATTTTATGGTGGATATAAAAAAAGTAGATATAAAATTTCACAGACGCACACACCACATGTACGCGCACACACATACGTTATCTGTGTAACAGACGTGTTTCATCGTTTGTGACGTGCAAAATTCTCAAAGCGCGGATAGAATAACTACGATAACAATGACAGCAATGACGAACGGCGGGAAAAAGGACTTTTCCGAAACAAAGGCGCTTCATTCGTGATACCGGCAAAGTCGAAATTCCACTACGTTGAGAAATTCCGTTGCATTATACGCGTGCATGAAATACACTTCGCAGTCTTGTGGTAACACGTCTGAAAGTTTAGTTTATCGATTCTTTGAAGAATTTTCCCTAAGTCGACTTGTAGAAAAAAAAATGTGTTTAATATATAAGTTATAATATATTTTACCTCCCTAATATAAAAAATCGTTCACAAAACAGATATCATTTTCTGTTCACACTACCACACATTTTAATATCTCTGAGTGATATTACTTCTAATGCAAATGCAAATATAATGTAAAAAATCGGAAATAAAAAAATTCTAAAAGAGATCCGCATCGATAAAAAACGGAAATTTTCCAAGCGTACGTAAAAATTTTTTGAAACAATATTTGCGTTTCTTCTCGAGAAGAAAAATAGCTTTGTCGTCGAACGTGCGCTGAATCTGTGAAAATTCACAAGCTTATCTGTCCAAGTGGAGCAGGAAGTCGAGCAGTCTCAGGATTCATGTAACGTCACGTAAATCGTCTACTGACCAGAAAAATTCTATCGCGCCCGATAAAGAGCTGAAATGTCGACTGCTCGACTCGTAAAGTTCAGAACTGCCCTTTTGTCCGCGACAGAACTATGTCAAAATTAAGAGCGAAACACGGCACACGTGTCGCCGATACATGAGCGTTCCAAGAGTCTTGTAAGGATTCGACTTTGCTGATCGAAGCAATTTTGAGCATCATGTAAAGCAGATTGAAGAAACGAGAGAGGATTATGGTTTAACTCTTAATTACATTTCTGCAATTTTATTCCGTTATCCTATTCACTTTCTCATTAAAGTTTAACAAGCTTTCAAGAGAAAAATGGAAACATTGATTGTCTCAAACGGAAAGTATTAACAGATACGAATATCAATTCAACGGAAGATCTGTATCGATTGATCTGAATCTATCAAATCTCCAATTGGTATCCGAACGTTAGCAGTATCGCAAATTCAACAAGAAGTTCTCGTTAATGCGTTCTATTGTTCATGATGCAGCTGGCAGGATCTTAACTAAACTATGTATACATAGAGATATCTCGGAACGAAATTAAAAATTTAAAAAGTACAAGAACGCGATTATTACACATGTAAGGTAAAAGACCCAATTACTGTCACCTGTCCAATTAATGTCACCCTAAGCTATTTTATTTAAAATATTAAATAAATCCTAAAAAGTTATGCATGAAAAAAATCTAACATAGAATTTTAAGTGCAATTAATATAACAAAAAATCCACAGCACTCAACATTCTTGTTTCATTTCTTTCATTTTAGAAGTGACAGTAATAGCTCTCGCATCGTTCTTTTTTAATTATTATTTTATAAATAAAAATAGAGATTTTGAGGGACGTATTATTTTTTTTCTTATATTAGAAACGTTGAATAATACCAGATAAAAAGAAAAACACATGTTTTTGATAAATAAATAGTAAAAACAATTCGCTAACGCCAGAGTTTATTATTCAGGTGACAGTAATTGGGTCTTTTACCCTATCTAGTGTTTTATAAAACAATCCGCAAAGTTACGGATCGCGATCTGAGAATTTTCGAAAGAGATCACGTTTCGCGCGATTTTGCAAACCTTGCATTCTCGAAATTCGCATTCTGCCACGCGTATTTATTAACCCACAATGATCGCATAAAAATGGAGAGATACACCATAAACGCGGCTGAGATATATGACAACCTATCAAGACGTTGCGAAACGTTGCTTCTCTCGTTTTTTTTCTAGCTGCGCGAAATGATGTCTCCGGTCAGGCAAATATTTCCCCATAAAGACAGCATTGCTCGTTCTGCGCGTAGTCGTATTGACCGTCGAACTGCTCGTAAAATCGCGCTAAAACCGTTATTGGAAGAGCTTGAAGAAAGAGACGGCGGATTCGTATCATTTAATCTCACGTTCTAATCTGCAAGCACGCGCATCGGGAAAATGTAATTTTCTGGTCATTGTATCGCGCGATAATACTTTGCACAGTGTTTGACATCTTGAATTTTATATAAGGAAATTTCCGATAAACTCTCGTAATCGATTTTTTTTTTTCAAACATGAACGATTTAATTCATTAAAACTGCCTGACAGAGAGAGACTTTCGAAAATGTTAAATTGATCGAACGATTCAATCACATTATCTCGATCAATCATATTTTTTATCAATTATATTATTGATTAAAATTATAAAATAAAAAACATATTTTTGTACAAAGGAATATAAAAAAGAAAATTTTTACGACGGGGAACAAGAAAAAATGACCGTGATAGTTGCAGTACTCTCTGGATCGAAATTCGATTATCGCTTTATTAGATTCGTTGTGATTATGACGGCACTACCGGGAACAATTATCGGGGACTTTGTTTCCTGGAAAAATAAATTTTCCTTGAACTAACGATGTTAACCGTGCGGTTAGCATACCTCTTTGATGTCTGCGTAACTTTTTGTTTTTAATTAATATAATTTGATTTATCTTGCCCATATTTTGTTTAGTATATACGTACGCGTTTCAGCAAACCGTAGAGACGATAAATTCGACTAAAATTACGCGGGTTTATATAAATCGCGACTTAGTTTGACGTTGAGTACAATAAACTGGAGAGACGATGGCGCCAGAATCGTCTAATTCGCATTGATGGCAACCAAAGAGGATTAAACGCAACGTTTAAGCGCTTTCTCGCAACATTAACTTTCCGTATAGAGTACCTTCTTACTTTATCTTCGATATTATAAAATTCTACGTAAGGAAATACTTAACTTACTAAAAATAAACAGTAGATAAATATTTGCAAAATATATTGAGATTTAATCGCAATGTGTGAACAACAGTTCAGATTTCAAAAGCAATTTTATCCACAAATCACGCGAATGTAGAAACAATTTGCAAGGGCTACATATAGGTTTGTTTAAAGAGAGACTCTCTGTTCGCGTAAAATTGCTGTTAACAAACACTTCAGGCAGAATAATAAAACGGCACGGTAAGGTATTGTGAAATCGATTGTACATATAATAATTTGCTTTAATAGAGTATAAAAGAATGAAATGGCGTTACACTGCTGACACAGAGTGATAAACGCTTTTTGCAGACGGAAATAAATGCGGAAATAACGAATATGAAATAACAACCTAGTTAGCAATTATTTTTTTTATCCAATCACTCATATTTATACATATATATATAATGCACACTCGCGATTTCCTTCACAAAGTGAGTTATAATTACATTATAAATGAATGGTTGAATAAATAAATAAACTATCAAATAAATAGGCGACTTGCAAAAAAAATCTGAAAAATAAAAAGAAAAGAATGTATTTTTCATCTATAAATTATAAAATATCTAAGCGCGTCACTATCTGCTTAAAATATAATTGAAACTCTGTGAAATGTTGTATAGATATTGTTTATAATTTCGTCAAATTATGATTTACATTTAATTCTTTTATCTCGTAAAAGACTAATATAGCGTAGAAAATTCCTAACAACTGTTTCACACACATTATAGGGAGCTAAAGTCGTTTCAGTTAAGTTCTAAACCCTACCCTTGCATCACGTGCATCTATTCTCGCACACACGCTGTTATCCCACAGAATGCCCGCTCGTGTGCGTTACCGTCAAATGACGGTGGAATGTTTCCCGCGAGTCGCCAGTTGAATAGTTTGTTAGCCGAGACCGCTAACTTTTCTCCATATTCTGGAGGGCCTATTGTTTCGTGTTCGTTTTCAACCATATTCTCCGTGATCTCAACTCGTTCGCCTTATATTTCGCGTTTCATTTAACAGCGAAGTTTCCCGTGTCTTAGAGAAGATACTTGAAAAGATACGAACTATATCTATTGCAATAGTTCAACAATACCGTGTTGCTCGAGATAAAAAAAAAAAACCGTACTTACAAATATATTTAGAGATACACTTTAGTCAGCGCAAAGAAACAGTAAGTTTTTTTTTAATCTAAAAGAACTTTGCTTTTGAAAATTTTAGTAAGTTTTTATGACAAGATATTTTCTTGTGGTAGAGGAACGTAGTAAAAAAAAAAAGCATTCGTTTTCTTAATTTCTATTTATATTTAGTTTTATTCAATTATAATTTGCTATTCCTTTAGCGTCTGTTGAACTTGATTATTCAAGCTTAAGTTGAATGTAGAATATGACAAGAGCCGAAATTCTCCGTAAGTATGCTATACCATATACATATATATTTGAAACATCTATTTGGTATCTAATCCATCGCTACGTGGTGCGCAAGGTGGCAAACGAGGTTGCTCGTAATCAGGAACGTTTCTCTCTCGGGGGGTTTACTGCCCTTTAATCCGCATGTGTATGCACGACGAAGCGTATTCGTTGAAATCACCGTACATAATTCTCCATTAAATGTTGGAGATAGTGGCGCTAATAGTAGCGCAAAGAGGATGAATAACGCAGAATTACATATTATATGGGAAACGAACGTGCGAACGTGTCGGCTGTATTCACGTTCGCAACTTATTTAGCGCCGAAATTAACTGTCATCGTCTTTTACTTGTCACTCTCTTTCTCTCTGATATATTTATATAACCGGTTTATTTACACAATGTAATCGGATGAGAGTTGAATAATTTCTTGTTTCGCGTATTTATATATTTATGCATTACACACACAATTTCCCGAGAGAGATATTTGTTATTACAAGAGCAATTAATTATTTTACGATTTAATTCGTCAATTCGTTAATTTTAGATGCAGCCCAAAGTGACCGCTTTGTGTACTCTGTTGGCGTTCGCAGCTTTTGTCGTAATTTCGAGTCCCACAGTCGACGCAATACCCCACAGGTAATATCGAATAAATCAGAAGAAAACACAAGGGACGAAAAAAAAGATTAGGATACGTATAAATATAAATGACACTGCGTATATAGTTACTAGTATGAACAATGGAATGTTGTTGAAACTTTTCTTTTTTCTTTTCTTTTCCATTTTTTCTTTTACATGTGAGAAAATGAAGTAAAATGAGAAGTAATCACCAGAGTCATTTTTTGTTTAGTCATACTGCTCATCTCGTCTATCACACAGAGAATATTATCTCTGTAATCTCATTATATTAGGACTACCGGAAAGTTCTGTCCGTTTTTGGAATAAAACAAAATACAAATTTTTCTTAATTTTTCAAAAATGGGATATACAAATTGCCCTCACGCTGGCAAGAAATCATTAATAATAATGATTATATTATATTATTTAATAAAGTTTATTGACGGTAAGAAAAATTTGTATTTTGTTTTATTCCAAAAACGGACAGAACTTTCCGGTAGACCTAATATATTTATGATAAATTTTGAAATACGTTTAGTGTGAGAATCGCGCAATGTAATAAATTGCAATCGCATATTTAAATAAATAGATAAATGTTGAACGAGAGAACAAAGAAGTGCTCGCGCGTTGAACAGTTTAACCCAGTTCCGTTTGACATGGCGTGCTGGCCGATAGAAAGGAATTCTGAAAGTGTCTCGCCGGATGACACGTTTCAGACAATCACGACAGATAATTTTCAATCGCAAATAAAAGCGTACATAACTTTTAACATCATTTTTGTACTTATATATATATTTATCTCTAGTTTTATCTCCCTCAGTTCAGTTCCTAGTTCCGTTTTATGCACTTTTTGCAAAAATTGCAATTAGATTTTTTGCAATAGAGATTTTTCGATAGTCGATTAAATTAAATTCTTCATGCATTCTTATGTCACGTAGAGCGAAATCTGTTCTCGCAATCGAGATAATTGACTAATCTATAATTTTGTGCGCACGCAGCCGTGAGACCTATTGGGATCAACAGGATGACATAGACCGAGACGAGCTTCTAGAGATACTTTCTCGTCTCAGTCACACCGTTGTAAATCGCCCTGAGATTGAAAAGTAAGATTTTTACACCGTTAGAAGGTGAACGTTACACGTAAATTCCATTGAAGATAACAATTTATCTCTCTTTTGGAAATTTCGAATTATTTTATCCGATAACTTTTACGTTTATCTGATAGTAAAAAGCCTGTAAGTTGCAGATTAAGATTTACTCTAGAAAAGTATTTTACATGGAGAGAAAGTTTTTTGAAAGGAAACAGAGGGAGGGTTTACTTACAAATCAAATCAATATTTATCAAGATATATTGCCTGGAAAAAAAAAAAAAAAAAAAAATAATAATTTCGGTTCCTTTCTGCACGATGTAACCGATTCGAACGGTAACTTAATAAAATCCCACATCCGCAGCACTAAGCGATCTGATATGGGACTCGGTCGTTCCTTCGCCGCTACCCAAGCGTTGAGAAAATACATGGGGCTCTCGAGTGCGGACTACTTCGGACGAAGACGTCGTTCGGAACAGGCGTAGATCACACACAAACATAATCGTCGACGAAGAGAGATTACTTATCTAACAAGTCGTAATAATTATCCCTTCCGACTCTAACTCTTTAACCATTTCTCGATTTTAAACTCGTCATTTTTTTGACGAATATATCACATTAATGTGTGTAGAGTGTTTTTTCGTTATAAGATTGTTTTTAATGTACGGAATAATAATAATGATAATAGCTTCGATCATGTGTTGCAAGATAAATGAAGAGACGTTATAGCATCTCTCTCAGATAAGAGAGAGAAAGAGAGAGAGAGAGAGAGAGAGAGAGAGAGAGGGAGAGAGCGTTTCGCTGATCTGACAACAAGACATTCCCTCGAGTCCGCACCCTTGCGAATCGATGGACGCTCCACTTCCTGAATTTATTCTAGTCATTACTATATCTGCAATTGAAATTGCGCGACGAGTTTCTCTTGCGTTTTCTTTGTACACGGAAGTTTTTTTCTGAATTCCCCTTACGCGGAATCATTTTTCTCTTACGTGCTTTTCTTTCGAAGACACTCGTGCATTTTTTGTTTACCTCATTCTTCCCTTTCCCTTCCTCTAGATTGTTAGTAATTGTTGCAAAAATTAGACCGCAAACATTAGACCGCACGCGTTATCACATTTTGTTTTTGTGCCTGTAAAACCACGAGCGAAATGAGTATTGTATGCAAGTCTGTTATCTGTCGATACTTGTTTTCGACAGCGCTGTTTGCGCAACAGATATCGCAGTAATGCCAATTTATTCTTATTTTTTTGCGTAAACAATTTTATTTTATTTTATTTTTTTCTTTTTTATTAGTTTGCAGAACCAAGCGATTTGAAAATTATAACGTAACGTGTGCTGGATGCGCACTGCGCACAAAATCAAAAAACCGATATAAACGTAGAAATAGTGAAACTTAGCCCCCTCCCCCCTTTTCGCGTGTTTTCGCATAGACTTATCGTTAGATTTAACTAAGTCGGGGAAGATGTGCGACGTCGTGATATTTATTGTGAAATAAGTTTGAGGTCAAAAAAATTTTACAAGTTCGAATTTGAATTGCATGACACTCGTGTCAATATTAACAGGTGGTAACCAAATGCGCGCGGCAATCATCGATAACGACATCATTACTCACAGTCGATGTGTGATAACGTGCGATATAATAAAATAGAACTTCTGAAGCACCAATTTACTAAATTACGTAGTAAGTAGAGTAATCACGCGAGAAGTTCTCAGGCTTGTAATTTTCTTTTTTTTGTAGAATTGAGAAATGCGCAAAAATGTCAAGAGTTGCTCTATAGAAATAGCAATATATGTTCGATATTACCTAGAGAGTTATGATTGCATCGAATTTTAGCTCAATTATTTTTGTATAATCGAAGATCATTAATATTAAGCGATCTACGTAAAATAGTCATCAAAATAGTCACAACTAAAAAAAAAATCCCCCTAACATTATATTATAAATAATAGATTATATTATTTCACATCGCATTCATCTTAATAATTTGTTGTTTCTCGCACACTTTGTACCGTCGATGTACGCACACACACACAAATATTGTTTCGCGAAGAGATGTTATGTATTATAGAAAATAAATGCGCGCACTCACGAATAAAAGCGATTTAATTCGCGATTAAATTATTTTAATCGAGAAGATCTATTTGGTTACCACCGCCAGAACAAAGCGCGTGAAGATGACCTGCATCATTTCTGTGTGTATTACAAAAGAGTAAAGCTCATCGTAAATAAAAGTTACCTGCTTTAATCCAGCCACATGAATGCGCGCATATTTTATTTAATTCCCTTATAAAACATATGTCTCATATATTAATGCTAGAAGAGAGTACACGCGCTCTGTATATTTATCACTGCAAATATTTTAGAGTAGAAAACCTGCACACGATGTAATTTTTTTTTTTTTTATTCAAAACTGGTTAATATCTAACGAATACAGTTGTTTGCAACGATTGTCAAGAACTCACAGAAGATCGTGAAAAAGAAAGTCATTGACTTAAAAAAACATCGCTTGATTAACCTTCAATCAGCGTGACATTGTTGAGCCAATAAACAAAGTCGCACATGATAAAAAAGTATTCCAACTCGCCGCATGATTGATAATACGCGGCGCTTGTGCATTGTACCGTAGACAGTCTCACATGTGTGTATCGTGTCTCTGGTTTACGTAAGTATGATACATTACTGCGTCAGTCGATGTTTAGTTATTTGGCTGTGTGTAGCGCTCGTGCTGCGAAGAAGCGTAACGTGCGTGCATAGGCTTCTCTCAAACGCAAAATTTTCCAGTTTCGATGTGATAACCAAGTTTCGTAAATCGAACTCGCAATCGCAATCTCGACCGACGTGTTTCGAATTGCAAAACACGAAACTTGTCGCGATTCGTGTACTTTTAATATGTTCGACGTGCACGCACGTCACGCATCTGGTTGTATCTTCTCGCTGCTCTGCGCGTCTCACGAAGGACTCGACCAAGAGAATACCACTCGACGTTCTCCTGCACTCGCAGTAACGTATCGCAATCGATAAGTTTTAACGTAGTGACAGTTATTTCCATGATTTTTGTAATAAGTGATTACAAATGAGTCAGTCACCACAATTCAATTTTAGATTACATTATTAATGTGCTTATATCTTTTTAACTTCTCGATCGACAAATAAATATTAAAAAAAAATATATACAAGGTGCCTCAGAAATAAGTGGCCGGATTTTGATATCGTGTGTGTGTGTGTGTGTGTTCTACTCTCTCTAAAAATAAAGTCATACAAATATAGATTTGGAAATTCTTTTCGAGATATAAACGCTGTTTGTGAGATAATATTTTAGAAATGCTTATAACTTACTTAAAGAAATTGCTGAAGATGACATAAGCTGGTCTTCAATAATAAAACGATTTGCTCTATCATTATCTATTAAAAGACTAGGTGTTAACAGTTGTTTCTTGTAATTCTACGTGTAATACGTATTCATGTAAAATTTTGCGGTAAACAAAGAGCGTTTATATCTCGAAAAAGAAGGATTTCTGAATAATTAATAAAGAATCTTTCAGGTTCCTAAGTTTCTAAACTAAGGAATGTATAAACGGTCATGTGAGTCGTTCTGGATGTGTGAGGAAATATGCGTGTATATATATTATATATACATATATATATTATATATACATATATATATATATATA